GTGGACGTCAGGAGTCTGACTGGGTCTCCGTCTCTGTTCCAGGTACTATCGGATGGCAGCGCTGGTTTACTACGGCTTCAGGATGCGCTCTGATGATGTCCTGTATGACTGTTTACCCCTCTACCACTCTGCAGGTAAGAGACGGGGGCTTGCAGTGAGCTGTGGTTACCTCATGTTCTTTGACTGAAGTGCATTTTTCGTGAGATGTGACGCCGGTAGTGTTTTCGCCAGTCGTAGTTAAAACCCTCTGCCCTACGGCTTCATCCATCCTTGATTCGGACATTTTGAAAGAGTGACAGATATAATTCTAATAATGTCTGGACACTCCACTGAAAGCGTAATGGGGAATCCCACTGCCACCACCAGTGTGCAGCCCCACCTGGATGATGCGCCAGTCCGCTCCTCCCACACACCAGCTCTCAGTGGGGAGGAGAGCAGAGCGATGGAACCAGTTCAGAGATGGGGTTATTGGGAGGCCATGATTGGTAAAGGCCAAGGGGAAATATGGCCAGATATGAACCATGTCCCTCGGCTTTGCGCGGATCATAACTTTTAGGCAGCCTTGCTACTAAAATATTGTACATGCAGCAAAATGCCACATGGAATCTAACAAGCTCTTGCTAACTGCAGAACAATGCGGCCTTTTTCTATTTGTAAGTGGCCTCCAGTATTAGAGAGTTGTATGTTTCATAGGAGTAATCCAAAGCAACACAGACCAGCATGTGATATGTCCCTTGATTCCTAACTAGTACCAGACCCGGTGTTCTCCCAGGTCTGTGCTACGAGGGTAAGAAGCCTGATGCTAAGTGACCTCACCAGCAGCACGTTTGCTGGCACGCATGGCTCGGGTGCCTCCTTGAAAGCAGCAGCACACCTGGCTCATGTGGCGATTCACGGGGGCTGGTTATGCTGTAGGCGGAGTATTACCGTGGACAAGTGTGAACGCAGTGGGACCGATGCTGTGATCGTTGCGGGAGGTGGACCGATCCTCAGTCAGGGGTGTTGTCTGAAATGTGCTGTATTGCAGTGATTGTGTAGAAACGACCGAGCGCTCTTGAGAATGTCCTTGCGGCTTCTCTGTCCCTCCAGGGAACATTGTGGGGGTGGGGCAGTGCCTGCTGCACGGCATGACGGTGGTCATCAGGAAGAAGTTCTCCGCGTCCCGCTTCTGGGACGACTGCGTGAAGTACAACTGCACTGTGAGTGCCTCCACGCTGCCGGCTCGTCCCACTCCGGTTTTCACGATAACCCGGCTCGCGGTGACTTACTCGCACCTGACCATTCGCGTAGTTCATTCAGCCTCTGCTGCCATCCAGAGTGACTCCTGCTAGATACCGCAACCCACCTCGGACTCTGTGTGAACGTCTCGGTCTCTGTGGTGTGTGACACTCTGAGCTGTGTGGTGTGTGACACTCTGAGCTGTGTGGTCTGTGGTGTGTGACACTCTGAGCTGTGTGGTCTGT